ACATGCACTTATAGAGGTTTTACCGTATACTGTATAAAAGTTAATGCTTACATCAGATATTTAAGAACTATGCTTATGTTAGATATTTAAGAACTTATAATTTTTATATCCGAACCTGAACTAGTGTTATAATCTGATAATGCATCATCTGTTTTATTGTCAGATATTTGTCACAAGAACCGTTTTTATCTGTGATCCGATTTGTATAATCCGATCAGTTAATTTATCATAGGATATTTGTCATCTGACATTATTCGTGATATAAAATTATGTATAAATTACATAATAATAAATAATAATAATAATATTTAAATTTATAACATTATTGCAAACAAAAAATATATTATTCAAAGAAAATGTCAAATATTCCTGTACCAAGTACTTCAAAAAGAACTTCAAGTGATATGGCTAACCAAATTAGTAAAAAGACTAAATCGAAAATTAATCGTACTAAAAATAGTTAGATTTGAAATTATTTTGAATTAAGAGAATTAGAAATCGTAAAAGATACTAATGAAGATAGTTACAACAACGAAGAAACTGAGAAAGTACTAGTTATGGTTTGTCAATATAAAGATACACCAACCTCTCCTTCTTGTGGTACAACATATATACGAAAAGATTCTTCAACTGGTAATGCAATATCTCATTTACGTTCAAAACATGATATTAGTAAGGTTCGTATAACATTTATTTTAGGTTAGATCTATAAACCTTATTTTTAATATAGTAAATCTATAATTAATAATATATGTTTTATTATATAGTCAAGTGTATATCAAACTTCAAATTCATTAGAGAAAAAAAAAAATTCTATTGCTATTTATTTAGAGAAACAACAACTTCAACTTCGGCAATATCTTGTCAATTTGATAATTGAAGCTTGTTTGCTAATTCATATTGTTTCAAATAATGCACTTAGGCATTTTTTAAATAAATTGAACCCTGCTTTTTTAATTTCATGTGAAGAAACTGTCAAGAATATTATTTATTCGGTATATAATTATTCATTTCTACAATTAAAAACTCAAATTATTGCAGAAGCTATTTCAGTATCTTTGACTATGGATCTCTGGACAGCTAAAAACCATCAAGGATATCTTGGTATCACATGTTCTTATGTGGATCAATTTTTTCAATTAAAAGAATTTATGCTAGATATAGTTTATATTAAATATCCTCACACAGCAGAAAATATTTCAAATACTGTTGAAAAAATTTTAAAAGATTGGAATTTGCAAAATTTAGTCTTTAATGTTACAACTGATAACGGAAGCAATATGAAAAAGGCTGTAAAAAGTTTAAATAATATAAATTGGTTGGGATGTACTGTACATACGCTTCAATTAGTTGTTGGCAAAAGAATGAAACCAGCAAAAAAATTAATTACTCGTGCCAAACGTCTTATTGATTTTTTTTTACGTCCAAAACAAAGTGAACGTTTAGAAGAAGTTCAAAAAAAATTTCCTGAATTAGCAGATGAATTAAAAATAGATAAAGAGTTAGAAAGTGATATTAATGAAAATATTGAAGAAAAATTAATTGTAAGTTATATAGATATTATAATTTTAAATTAATTTAATTTTATAACATATTGTAAATAATTTTAATTTAAAGTATCTAAAAAAAACTGCTAAATATCTTCATGCAATTGCTGATTGTCCTACTCAGTAGAATTCTCAATATTTGGCATGGATTTGACTTTTAAAGTTAAAAAAACATATCTATATGTTATTGAATATATTAAGTACAAAAAATAATCAAGATTCTAAAAAAGACTACAAAACTCTTCAAACAATTATGTTGTCTGATGAAGAATGGAATGCAATACAAAATCTTATACCAGTATTACAACCTTTTGCAGAAGCAACAAGTCTCTTAGGCAGCAGTACTTATTATACATACTCAATGATGAATTCTATTTTAATTAGTATTAAACAACAATTTATACTATTAGCATTATGTAGCAATTTTACAACGATGGTATTAGATTTTTCAAATAATGAAACAGTATTTGATGATAATAATACAAACGAAGAAGCAAAAAATCCAAATACTCCATTAAATTGCAATGGGCTTATTGATACAATTCAAGAAACCTTAAATATGGCTATGGATCATTATTGGAAAGATCTTACAGCACCACAATCTCTTCTTCCAAGTATTTTGGATCCACGAATCAAAAATTTGGTTATTGTGTCAGAAGCAAATAGATATGCAACTGAAAATTATTAAAAGAAAAGTTTGTTGAAATGAAGAATAAGTTGAGTTTAAATGATGCATCATCATTTTTATTAAATTCAAATTTTTAACAAAAGGCCGTAATTCAAAAAACAAAACAACTTAAGATTCTTGTTAATCTTAAAAAACCCCAAATTGCAGTATTTAATGAAGTTAGCGAATATTTAAAATTGGAGGAAATTGATTTTGAAAGTGATGCTTTTAATTGGTGGTATGAAAGGCGTGAAAAATTTCTAATTCTAAGTAGGCTTGCTAAAAAATATTTAGCAGTTTATGCCTGTTCTACAGCATCTGAAAGATTATTTTCTGATGCTGGTAATCTTTTAACTATAAAAAGAACACGAATGTCTCCTAAACTTTTTAAAAGAATAATGCTTTTAAAAAAAAGCTGTAAATATTTAGATAGCATTCATGCTTCTTTAGATATATAGTTATCTTTTAAACTTCAAATTATATTTGCAATTAAACTAGTAATACTAGATTTATTATACTTTATAGTTGTAAAATGCTATAATACTGCTCTAAGAATGTTATTTGTTAATTAATAAATATAAATTTGCAGCTTCTATTTTATAATTGTTTT